GCAGACGAGCCTCAGCTCACCCCTAGCGTATCACCGTCCAGAGGAGCTGGCAACACCCGTTTAAAGGCGTTGTCAGCCGCATGCCAGGCAGTATCCCGCCCACGGGGCAGGCAATGTGGCAATTCTCACCAGGCAACTGTAGTTCTCGTCCTCTGTTACACCATTCTCCATTGACCGTTGACCTCGCCATCTGCCACCCCCTATCCCCCCACTCTCGTCTCCCCCCCCAGGGAGCATCAATGGCGGCTAGTGTCTGTGACACGTATATTCCGGGTGCTTCCTGACAACTCTAGATGAAATTCATAACTCCACAGTGATCGAAGATCATGTAGTTTGCAATCCTCGTAGGACAATCCTCTCTCTGTAGTTACTTATGTAGTAACAGCGGTTGGTCCCACCTCGTTCTTCCAATAACATAGTACAAACACACATCGTTGTTTACAACCCACACAAAACACGATGTTGAGCCAGCAAGGCAATTGCACGCCCTGTCTCACAAATACATAAACAAACTAGCGCTAATCCAGTTGGAGTATGGAATGGTGATCATACGCTGCACTCTATCCCTATCTTCGCCCAAATTTCGCGGTCCCCCTAAATGAGTGGTGTCACCAGTTTGCATTTGTTGTAGGCACATGATGGACAAAGAGAGAGACAAAACCACTATCTGAGCTAGGTTGACTACAGTTGGAGCATGGAATGGTGACATCTGCCTATCCTCTTGCAGCAGCCCTACCCGCCCAAATTTGCTGTCACTAGTACGGGTGTCATGATGTTGCATTTGTTGTAAGCACATCAGTGGAACAAAGAGACACACCAACTATCCTTCATACTGTTGTTATCAGTTGGAGCTCTGGAATGGTATCATCTTCTACTCCCATCAGCTGCAACCTATAGCCCCTCTTGCCCAACTTTCGCATGTCCCCCTTACTGAGGTTGTCACGACTTGCATTTGTTGTCGCACATGAGCGAAAATCATCGTCTTTTTGGTTGCAGTTTCCATGTCTACTGCTATCTATGTATGTTGTTCAATGGTTGGTAGAGATGATGACGTCGTATACACGCGTCTTGTCTGTGTAGGATGAAGGGACATTTTCTCTCAATGACGATGCCAGAGTGCACTGGGGGCAGTGGAGTCGATGGCGAGTGAGTCCATCATTGTCTGTCACTAGGACCCTCTTCCTTTCTCACGCCCCTTCTCTAACGTCAATCATCACTTACTGTATAGGTATTGCAAAAAGGCCAGGAGCACGTGACTCTTGTTCTGTATGAACCCTAGAATGAAAAAGCAGCTACACCTCTTATGCCATGACACATGTGTGATAACCATGTCCACAGAATCACAATGTATCGTAGGTCCCATCTGATCACAAAAGCAGACACAATGACACGACACCAGGAATACATCTATGCCATGACACAGAATCATGTATCACTGTGTATGTGACAAAATAACACAACCAATTGTGCAATCCACCACTAGTAACCCATTCTTTTAAGCGTATATAAAACCCTACATATTCTTGTATAGTGTACTGCTAGATGCAAACTCTCTCTCACACGCACAGATCTTTAAGCTGGAGAGATATGTGGGCCCTTGGTGTGGTGAAGGGAGGGAGAGGGGGCGTGGTCGGAGAAGATGTGGGGAAATCCCTAACCCCACGACGTGGGGCAACGCAGTCAACCTTCGAGTCACTGTCCCTCTCACTGACGATGGTTAGCCCACACACACTGACAGTCATTAATTATGTATATAGAATGAAACATCCGAAAACGCACTCCAAATAAAGCAACCTCTCTATAAAGGCACTCTGTTCTGCCTTATAGAACATTGTAAATTACCCCTCCATAAGAGACACCTCTGAGTAAAAGATATCCAAGAAGTCCTTAGTTTTTTTCACACTGTATGTATAGTAGCTATACAGTATATTGGGTGTGGGTTAAAGGAATGGTGTCAAGGACCTAGTACAAAGATGCAAGTAATTTCCATTTTTAGTAAGAATGTCTAAATTTAGCCCTTGTATACTGCCCACTTACCGTGGTGTGATAAAGTGGTTCCTCATGTAACCAGTATCTAGATTACATCATTATTACCTACTGCCATTGTAATGTGTGGGCATGATTATGGTATTGTGTCTTGTATGTTTGTGTTTTGTTTCAATGCCAAGAAGGTTGTTTTGGAGAAAGTAGAAATAGAAAGATAGTGTCCTCTTCTTCCTCCCTCCATCCCTCCCTCCTCCCCCAGCGGTGGTGTGTGACTGGCCAGATTCTCCCGAGAACCGCAAACGTCGGTCGTTCTGTTCTCGCTACGAGGGTTACGGGAGTCTGTGTCACTGCTCCAACCCACTCCCTCTCTCCATTCGCTCTCCCCCTCTCCCTGGCAGTCGAGTTACCAGCATCCCAGTCGCCATCATTGCCAGCAACCGTCCACAGTACCTGTTTCGGTATGTTCTCTTTTGTACCCAAGACATGCTCAGAATTGAATTTGCTCCCCTTTTGTGTGAGATCATCTAAATCATCCTTGCGAGAATGGCTCAACATATAGTATACATAGCCACATACACCATGTTCACTATAATATAGCTCTCTCATAAAAAAATTAAAAATGAGGAGTATGTTGATTAGTAACACTATAGGGGAACATTAATTGGCTGACAGTTGATACTTGTACGGAAGAGCACACGAGGGTCCAAAATAAACCTCCCCTGAGTAAGGGACAACTCCCTGCTAGTAGCATATATAGTGACTAGCTGATAGTTTAATTTGACGAAATATTACCATTTTTTCTTCTGTTAATACTATGTATCTACGTACGTATCCTGCCCAGGATGTTGCGAGGACTGCTGGCTGCAAAGGGAGCCAACGCCTCACTAGTGACAGTCTACATCGACGGATTCTTTCAAGAACCAAAGGAGGTCGCCGAGCTCTTTGGCATTAGAGCCATTCAGGTATGATATGGAGCTGGATTCATTCACATTACACCCCGAATATTATATGGGATCACATGTACAACGATGTAAATGAACGTTCTAACACCGTGCACATCTCTAGCATATACATTGGATCGTGAAAGATTTTTGTTGCGAACGGTGCATGGTCTGTTGGGTTATAGCTAAGTGCATGGTCTGTTGGCCTAGCTAAAGTGCATGGTCTGTTGGCCTAGCTAAAGTGCATGGTCTGTTGGCCTAGCTAAAGTGCATGGTCTGTTGGCCTAGCTAAAGTGCATGGTCTGTTGGCCTAGCTAAAGTGCATGGTCTATTAGCCAAGCTATTGTTGACTAGTCCTCATTGGTTGGGTGCTCACAGCATGAACCAAAGAGCCTGAAGAACGGACGATATCTCAGCACTACAAGTCCAGTCTCACTGACACCTTTGACCACCATCTAGTGAGTTCTCCATCACCCTACTGACTAATTGACGAGTGAAGCGAATCTACAGTAGTGGTTTGAATGTGTGTGTGATGGCACGTACCGTAACGTTCAAAAGCGCGCGAAATATTTAACCATTTTTAACGCCATGGGTATCATTTGCAAAGCAGAAATTGATGTATAAAGTATTAGCGCCTAGTATTATAACCCTAATAAATTCTTATGGACGTATGGAGGCTCTGGACACATTTATGCGTCCGTGGCTGGTTAAGTGTTGTAACTATATACACCAAACATTCGTTCTAGTGTTATAAGTCAACATTCACTCAACCTTCCCCTCCCCATAGTGGGCCCAGTACATGATCATCATTGAGGAGACTTGGACGTTTCCCTCGACTTCTTCTTCTACTTCAGTCAGACTATGCCTCTACTGGAGTCTGATTCCTCCGTCTACTGCATATCGGCCTGGAACGACCAGGGCTACGACCACTCTTGTCAGGACCCCTCTCTCCTCTATAGAGTAGAGACGATGCCTGGTCTCGGCTGGTGAGTGCAGCATGTTGTACAGTGGAGCCTTTGAAACGGGATTCTAGACATTCTGCCCCAAACCATCCGAATAATGCAAACGTGATTCTAAATACATGCATTGTGTCAACTATGAGGTAGAAAGGCAAGGCAAAGCAGACGAGTCAACTACGTACACCCAGGACAGTACACACGTGACTGAAGTTTCGCAATCGTCGCTGAATGTGCCTGTAACTCTTGCGTACGCTAGCCAAAAATGCATCACACATCGTTCTAGTACATATGTATGTACCTACATAAATAGATAGCATTGCACATTGTTCTGTGTAGTACGTACCTGTATAATGTGTCTTGCTGTGGTCTTCTATATCATTCACAGGATGTTGAAGAGGAGTCTGTACAAGAATGAGTTGGAACCAAACTGGCCCAGCCCTGACAAGGTATTATATATAGCTCCGTCAGATTAACAGTTTTTGCCAGGTCTACGGGTATATAATATAGTCACAGTGTGGGAAATTCTGCGTTGGTTTGAGGCACTACTGATACATAGCGTTGGTTGGGATGCCGCCATCTTTACAGTAAACCTCTGAAAAAGTACCTTATACAATCGCTTGGTTCGGTAGTATCGTGTAAAACAAAGCACGCAAACTCAGGTATAGGCGCATTATTTCGCGGTGGTTTACTACGCGTTGTCACACGCTATTGCGCACGCCGGGAATGAAGACAATTTGATGGCCTCGAGGTATGTCTATTAATGCCATCTCCCGTACACAGCTGTGGGACTGGGACATGTGGATGAGACTGGACGTCATTAGGAAAGGAAGGTCAGTCGAGGGCAAATGCTGCTATTTTTTTCTCTATCAACTCATGTGTACTATCAACTGTGTGTCTAGTTTCATGTGATTTTCATGTGTGCAGATCACCTTTATGGCACAGAAGAGAATATTTTGATTTAGACCACTAGGTTAATAATTTGTGTTTGCTTACCACTCAGAATAACTCGGCTTCAGTTTTTCTTCTTTGGATGCTTTCTGTACTGTATATCATGTACTGGTGACTGGGCTGGGCTGTGTGAAATGTCAGAAAAATGGCACCCACCTCATACTGGCACCATAGAAGCTTAGCATACATGGTGATACTAAGCTCATCCACCAAACAACCATAGTTATATACCACGTTTTATGTCCATGCAGGGAGTGCATCGTACCTGATGTATCAAGAACGTACCACTTTGGAGCCTCGGGACTCAACATGAATCCTTACTTTCAGGAGCACTACTTCAAGAAGCACACTCTCAACACCATTCCCGACGTCATTCTGCGTGACGTGGACAGGTAAGGCTATATGTCACAATATTATGTCGCATTGCCCCGTCGCGCCGTGCCGCTTTGCCGCGTCGCGAGGATAGAATCCATTTCTCTCTTCGTGGCACTGCGTCGACGGGCAATGCGACGTATTGTGAACCTAGCCTTAGAATGGCTGTTGGTGTGTACATGTGTACGTATATCTTTTTTTAAATTTCTTTCATCTATCTGCAGTCTCACTAGAGACAACTACGAACTAGTCATCCATAACCTCTTGAGGTATGTGTACAAGATACACAACAGATTTGATCCCTAACCTAATATCTGCCTCTGCTAGCTAAACCAACTCTGCTCTCCATGTATTAGTGTTCATGCACGGTCTAGAACACAAAGCTACTAAGCAGAATTGTTTTATTAGCTTAAAAATCATCAATTATCATTTTTGCAGAAAAGCCAATGTGCTAGACCACAGTAAGAACCCGTGTGGAGATAAATTTATTCCAAAGAAAAAGGTGAGTCTACCTACAACTACGAGCTGTGTATATAATATAATAAGTAATTTGGTCTCTGCTCTCACAGGGAAATACTTATGTCATGTACATCAGCATGGACAACGAAAAAGACTTTGATCATTGGATGAAGCTAGCAACGGTAAGTGCTATAATAATGTACTGTACGGTTTACAAACACATCTACGTACATCTTGCCTGTAAAACACTTACTTGATTAAAATGCTGTGTGGTAAGGTAAAAGCCTTACTTATACTTTGTAGTGTACGTACATACATGCATAATCACTCGGATGGGAACACCTTGAGGACATTAAAATTGTCGATATGTCCCTTATTGGAGGTATGTATATATATAATAAGAATTGGTTCAAAGACAAGTGTCATTTATAGAGAGGTGTGCTTTATTTGGAAGTTCCTTTACTGTAGGCACGAAGCTGCATTATTCCCGGTTGTAAGAAAACCCCACTCTCTCTGTTGTTGTAGTGCTTCCATCTGTGGGATCTCGATGCCAGAGGCTTCCACAATGTGAGTTGATTGGTTGCGTGAATATCCGTGCTGAGTTGAACACCACCCACTCTGCCTCTCCCTCTCTCTCCTGGCTCAGGGTTTGTGGAGATTTTGGATGAAAGGCAATCATATATTAGTGGTTGGAGCACCCTACTCCCCTTACGCCAGGTATGTATATATGTGTGTATATACACTGTATTTTACCTTCAGGAGCACAAACCAACTAACTGAGAACAAAGTAGCAGAAAGTTGTGAATTAGTTTGCACTGTGCGGTCTTACGTATAACTCAAAGATTTAAAGACAGCAATTCAACTTGGTTTCTTTTCTGGCTTTGAATGTGGTGTTGTTGATTTTTTTCTGTCTTTCTCAGCAAATACATGCCTTCGGGAATCAGACCTCTAAAACTGGTCACGCCCTCTCAAAGATAGCCGTTTCCTATTGTATTAGCACCAGATCATCACTTGGACTCCTGTATCATTGACAAGTGTACTCTAATTCCACCTTGTTCAATGATTTTTTTTTCGTTTTTTTGTCACAATTTTTGAACACAACAGAAAATTTTCCTGGACACTATAGAGCACACACACACACGGCACGATACAGAGTTGCCAGATGCTACAATTTTTTGTAAAAAAAACAACTCTTTAGCTGTAGAATGTGTGACTTGTTGGTTGAAGTGAAGAATGTTTTGGGGTCGCTATGCTCTTGCCACTTTTGCACTACCTGTGCGAAGAGCAAATTGGAAAGTGGTTGTTGATAAATTTTGGCCGGCTATCTTAGTGTTGGTTTGCTGCGTCTGCGGAGTGAGTGGAACTGCCAGGATCTCGTGAAGGACATTCGTGGGGAGGAGGAGGAGGCGGTGATGGGGCTGCTGTTGCTGGTACTAGTGGTGACGGTGCTCTGTCCAAACTTCTTGGTGTAGATGTCTGGATACTGCTGTTGGAACTGGGAGGGAGAGAGGGAGGAAGAAAGAAGCTTGCACTTGATCTACATTAGATCTGTAGAAGCACATTTTACAGACCTTGAAGACAGGTGTAATGCCTGTGTGTGTGTGCGTGCATGTGTGCGTGTGCGTGCGCAAACCAACATGCATAGGGTGCTAACGCCTGTGTGTGTGTGTGTGCATGTGTGCGTAAACCAACATGCATAGGGTGCTATTTACATGTAACTCTGGATCTATTCACCAGTTTTAGTTTCTGTTTCTTCTCTCTGTCGGTCATGTTTTCATCGGCGGTGATCTGGTCCAGGAGGCAGGAGATGGACTGCTGTGAGGTTGTCCTCATTTGGGCATCGTATTCCTTCTGACTCACTCTCTGGCAGAACGACTTGGTCTCATTCAGTCCACTCGTTGTCTCCTATACATATATTGGTCCACACAAACACTCTTATGAACACAAATATACATTAAAACCCCAGTCCTTTCTCCTTCAGTCGAGAGGGCCTGGGGACGACAAGTAATAGTACACTACATGTGGAGCCGATAATGTTACAGCAACATCGTACATGTTGTGGTAGAGTTTCCAGGAAGTTAAATGTACTTACCACTCCATTGGTGAGTGCTCTGATCCTCTTGTCTGCCTCTTGCTTCAGTTCATCTGGAACCTGTCAGTTTAGAGTAACAAGTGTAGTGTCGACTACAAGGAAGAAAGAGATATTTTTTCGAGCTAAGTACTTCGTACTGAAAGAAAAGCAGGGGAATTGTTTGAAAAATTCAGAGCCTGTATCTGAAGTTTTGATGGCGGGACTACTTTAAAATCTGTGAAATATTTATTTCACTGTAAATGCTGCTGAATCGTTACATTTTTCTCCCTTAAGCGCTATTGTAGGTGAAATGTGGTAAGAGTGGTTCTTGCCTGGCCCCCCTCTCTGTTCCCTGCGTCTCACCTTGAAGATGTGGTTGTAGTGTTGGCTCATGAAGGCGACCAGGTTCCGTGCGTCTGCAGTGTCCTGTTCCGATACCTCGAGACTGGACTGGGGACGCAGTACCATCACCGCCAGTGTGTCGATCATCTGATCACAACATAACATACATACATACAGAGTGGCACTTAGCTGGTCACTCAAGTCCATCAACATACTAGAAAACTTTGCATAATACTGTAATTGCAAGCTTAAAGCTACACTTCTTGCTCTTATTTATGTCAGGGCCTCACCACGTGGTGGTTTGACTGGGTGGGTGAGAGGTGGAGAAGAGGGTTGGTGGAGGCCTTGTGTATGGCTCGCAGGACTCGGTGGATACGGGCTCTGTTGGTCTGGGGAAGGAGGAGGGTGCAGAGCTGGAGGGCATCTCTGGCACCGGGCTTTCCCTCCTCAACTAGACCTGCAATAGACAGAGGTCACACAATACAAGGTGCAGTGAATTGAAGGTGATAATAACAGATACTAGAGGAATACTACGCAGTTCAATATTTCTCGTGTGTTTTGCAATCACGTAGAACATTACGGATGTGCAATGCCCGACAGAGCTGTCACGTTTATGACAAGGGATAAAAGATTCTCAAAACTTCAAACAATCGCGCAGAGAGAATCTCTCTTAGGCAAGCAATCTGTGGCCACACGTAGTACAGTACTGCAATGTGACAATACCTGCAATAATTCATAGGTGAATGGACTCACTGTTGACAGCCATGTGGAGACTATAGAGGTTGGTACTGATGAGTGGCTCAGGGAGGGCACACAGATACTGTGCCAGGGACTGCAGAACCTCACTCTCCAGTCCAAACGTACTGGGCTGTCCTGTCACCACATCTGTTGGACACCCTTCTGGCCCTACAACAAACAATGTTAGCATCAGTCTATATGTACATGGCTATGAGTGATCTCCCTATATACACCGTACAAAGAGCTCGCTATAGTCGAGATTGTGTGCAGTAGGGTTTGTTGAATAGATGCATAAGGGTTGAAGAACTTGAGTAAAGGTAAGGTCTGTATGTAGCCAAGTGGACAGAGGTATACATGCATTACTGTACCCACATTTGGAGAGGCAGTTGAGCATGGTGATGACCCAGCCTGGAAAGTCCTCCACTGCTTCTGTTGTATATCGATCCACCAGACAGAAAAACACACGCCATATCATAATACACACGACTAACTGCAACTCAGCGTGCATGGACCTGTAATACGTACATAGTCGACCAAGTATTGTACCAGTAAATAAGAGAATGAAAACGGAGCAGCTTATGTGAAAAGTCCTGTGAACTAAGCACAGAGCTCAACAATAACCCAAAAAGGCACACGTACTGAAATGGAGTTACAGTTGTGGATCACATGTGTGGACGGGAGAGCACTCACCCTGAGCACGGGGCCGGCTAGGGTGAGAGCGTCCGTGTCCCGTTCCCGACCTCAGGGGCCTGGGTACCAGACCCAGGACGGCATTCTGAACTATGTTCTTACCGTCCACTGCGTCGTGGGACAGGACAGAGTCCAGCGTTGGCATCTCTATGAGTTTGAGTAATCTGGAGTCATAGGGTGGGGAAAGGAGGAGGGGGTGGGAGAGATGTGTACTTGAACGAATGCAACACATTTTAGTCATAGAGTGCAATAAACCCATTATGTTTGCGCAGACACTTTGTCAAGTGGCGGATACCTCGGTTGGCATTGAAAAAACCGAGCAATTGAGACTTTGCTCGTCGACTGGTGTTGTGCTGTTCACGAGCAAGGTACTAACATAATAACAATGCACTCAAACAACTTATGTTCTTCATCAGCACTCGAACAAGTTATAAGCATAGGTACACTGTGTGAATTGTACACACCACAGTAAATTTGCATGGGAGCGATATTCGCGGCCTGCAGATTGTTAGCAAGTCTTGTCACAAACGTAAACAGTGGGTAATAGATAAAGGTGAGGGTCCCAGGGGGGTAGACAAAATACGGGCATGGCAATAGAAAACACGTTCCAATGAATGGCAACAAGTGTTGTCCATCTTCCGCATAACAAATACAAACTGTGGTTTTATGGACGGTTGATTACACCACCCCCCACCCCCACAGAGTTTGATATAATACTCACCTGGTTAGTGTGAGCTCCTTCCAAATTTCGGCCACTTGCGAGGGCGAGGGCTTCCCAGCTCCGCTGTTGGTGTCAACAAGAGTCAATCGCGCCTTTTTTCTCTTCCCTTTCCCTCCCGCTCCATCTTCCTCCTCTTCCTCAACTTTGCTCAGGGCGTGAGCGTTTCCAAAGAACGTCGATCCTCGTATTGCGCCCCTCCGACTCTCTCTAGTGCACTCCCCCCTCACCACGGCGGAGCAAGAACTACTCCTCTCTCTCGTTCCCAGAGGAGATCCCACGGTGGACGGCTCCTCGACAAAGTTAAAGGGGCCCGGCTCGGTGACAAAGCTGTAGCGTCGACTGCTGTCCTCCGAGAACTGGTGGTATTTCCCTCGCACCTCCTTAATGACGTTGGTTTGCTGGAACTTTTGTAGCAGCTTCACTGCCTGCGTAAATTTGACGTAAAATTTATTTCTTATACATTTTTCTTTGAACTCCACAAGAAAAGGGGATAAGCATACACGTAATTGATATAATATCGCAGCTCCTTGGCTAAATTTCATGGCATTTCTGGCATTTCTTTATAGGTGTGAGCTTTATGACATTATTATTATGTACGTGTAGACCACAACAATGTAATTTACGCCAAGTTTTATTACCTAACTGTTCACTAACTGCCACCTTTTAGAACTAAACCGATGACCATTATACATGCATACCGACACAGATCAGTTAAAACAAGACAAATTACTACCGAGAATTATACATGTTTTCACCCAAACGTGCAGTGCTAACTGAGACATGTAAGGGGCTAACAGATGCAGTAATGTTTGGCACGCTGTAACGCAATACTTGGTTTCGTGCAGGCCAGACAGTGAGTGACCTTCGTGGCGACATAAACGCGCAGTGTTTGTTTGGCCCAGAGGTCCAGACACATTTCTGTGTATGTGAACAAAACCACACTCTGCAATCTGCGCAGCATCTCCTTTTGCACGTACTCGAGATTGTATGTACATCTGTAGCTAGCTTTTGACAGTAGAGTTGTTACGTATCATGCTATTATGGAGGCTTGCTATCACTGTACGTACAGCCCTAGCTACATCATATCATGTACTCAACATCTGATTGATAGAGTTGATGCAGATTTTCACCACTAAGATTAGCTGTATGTGTATGTAAGTAGGACACTCACTTGCTGCCTTGAGACTGTTCCGAAGTTGCCCGAGGCCTGCAGGTGCTCATGGAGCCACTGCACTGCCTCGCTGCCCGTGAAACACTCGTCGTAGAGTTTCATCTTTACCCTCCTCCGCTGTCTGGGCATGCCGTCTCTGAAACCTACAACCAGCTCCTGCCACTGCAGATAATATAGCACGCACACAGTCACAGACGATGAAAAATCAAGTTTTAGGGTTATGCATGCGCAGTTAGCGGCTCACTCACCATCTGAGTGGCTTTGAACGCAACGCTGGAGGATTCGGTGGAAGACGTGGAGGTTGTGGTGCACGCAGAGCCGCTGCACACGCTGCTCCCGCCGTCTCCACCCGTGCTGCTAGTGGACGTCTCCCAGTCCATGTCCCTCACCGCTACACCACCAGGTGACTGCATCTCTTCCTCTCACGACAAACTCCTACAACACGCTGCACTCACTGCAGCATTGCTCCAGTGCAGCGTGCAGAAAAGTGATCTTTTGTCGTCGTCGTCACGACATTCAAAAACCGACTGCAATCTGATTGGTCCAATTAATTGCGCTCGCCGTTCACGGAAATATTGAACATAAAATTCGCTCAATTAGAATAGAAAATCTGGTGTGCGCGCGCAGGGTGGTATGGTGCTCCACCTTTGATTGCATGAGAGGATGGCTATGCGAAGCTCTTCAACGCAGCAGAACAAGCAGCGAGTGATGGAGGGCCCGCTGTCCAAGTGGACGAACGTTGTGCACGGCTGGCAGTACCGCTGGTTCGTGCTGGACCAAGCTTCTGGTCTTCTCTCTTACTACACGGTACGAAATGCAGTTTGAACAACTGTGTAGCTGTACCGTACGTGTCCACCGTTTACATGGCAACATGCCAGTATCTTAGGACTTGTAGTGTGTACATAGATGTCTGGCTCATGTGTCTCTAGCAACACACACTTTGAAAACGCTAAATGCCCCCTCCTCTCTCTATTCTTGTAGTCAAAGGAAAAGATGAAGAGAGGATCGAGGCGGGCAACTATACAACTAAAAGGGGCTATAATTGGAATTGACGATGAGGACGACTGTACATTTACCATCAGAGATCAGACAAGGGTTTTCCACTTCCAAGGTCAGATGTGTCTTTGGATCCTTGCATGACCACAACATTATTAATTGGCCAAGTCACCTGACCGAGCCTGTAGCTACATACTTATTACCTCAAAGCTACATGTATTTGGCAGAACTGTGCTCCATTGGCCTGCGGGGTGCATTTCCCCCCAGCCCTTCCAGAATCACCTCCTTTTAGATAAACACCAGATTTGTTGTTTTAATCCCACCATCCCGTGCCCACCCACATCGACTACATGTCCCTGCTATGAGGCCCTCTCATTTAGTGACCCTACAGCACTTCATGCATCCATCCTCAGTAGATATGTAATTATGCCTGTGTAAGTAGGTGTATCCTTCGTAGATTTGTTGACAACACTACCAAACAGCTACAACTGTAATAAAGAGATTATAATATTATGCCTATAAGACCATTGTATTGGAGAGTTGTTTGACGTTACCAAGCAAGCAAATGCCGTATGAAACGTACATAACTTAAGCCAAACTTTCTGAGCTAACATCAACTGTTTCGTAACATTGACCGAATGTGTTTACATACAGTATAAGAGCATGCTAAATGTGTTCGTACAAAACGTGGTTGAATTCATAATTATTCTCTGTTTGTCTCCCATTTCTTCTATGTACCTCCACAGCCCAAGACTCTGAGGAGAGAGAGAAATGGGTGCACTCTCTTGAGGCCTGCATCAGGAAGCTTGTCCGTCCTCCAGTTCAGGTGACCTTCATTTCTCCCCTCTTCTCTCTTTCTCTCTCCATCCCTTCCTCGCTTCTTCACTTCCTTACCCCAACCACTTCCTTCCTTTCCCCCCTCTCCCCCTCCCCACTTCTCTCTCCCTCTCTCCCACCACAGCATGATAAACTGCACCCATGTTAGGTAGAGCATCTCATACTTGCTGACGGGCAGATTTTCAGGTGTAGCTCCTAATAATGCAACTCTGTTCTGGGGCAAACAACATTAGGTGAATAGAGAGATTGCCTTCCATTCCCATACATTTCTGCATAATTACATCGGAGCCGCGGCGTAACTATGGACTTAATAGGCACAATTGCAACGTCTCCTCACACATCGTTTGGCAGTGTCGCGACATTCCTAGTAGCTAATGGCGCCTCAAGTGATGTGAGAATCAGTCAATGCATTTACTCCTCTTCTTGTGATCCCAGCGAGCGTACAGTTCGTTTGGAGGTGTGAAGACGCTCTGTGTATTACGTACAATTTGGGTTTTGCATACCAACAAGATGAAAGTTTTTCCACTGAGGCCAAAGTATTCTTCTGTTTTGCCTCAATTATTAGCAGCAACCATCTAGGTATATGAATACAGCACACACGTTTTTCGCCAATTTGTTGTTGTACAGTTTCACAACTGAAACCAACACACCAACAAACACGATGGGGTTGGGTAGCTTTTGAGGGACCAATGGTCTCAATGTTCCTTCTCAGGGTCCCCCACTTTAAAAAAACAACGCATTTGTCCCTGAAAATTGACCCCCTCCCCAAAATGAAACAAACCTTTCCCTTTGAGTTACTTAACCTCAATGTTGCAATTACTATTAGTAGCTTACAACTTCTAAAGTGGTTTTATTTTGTATATACAGTATGCTATGGGAGAGCATGAGAGACATGGAGGGAACATTACTCAGCTTAACTACTGCGGTAGAGTCACTCGAACTGCTATGTACATCTAGTGTCCTATGTGTATATGCATGTGTGTATGAGACTCCGTTTTCTGTTGCCTTGTGTGTGTGTATATAATTATTTGGGTATGGGTAAATGGAGAAAGAGGGTAAATGGAGAAAAAGAGTAAAGGTAAGAAAGCAGGCGTGTTTGCCATGTATTGCAGCCATCTGGGTGATTAATGTAAACTAACCAGGGCTGTAGGTTCTATCAACTGTGTTGTTATTATGAGTTCCTAATCTTTCACTGTGTGTGTGTGTGTGTGGTGACAGATGATGGAGCTGCCCCTGCCGTCAGCCAGTAAGAGGGTGAGTCTGGAACAGAGACTTGGAGAGGCCGACGGCTACTACCACATTCTCAGAGGACAAGTTCAGGTACACATACAGTAGTCCTCCACGTACTGATTTCTGTCTGTCTCTCTCTTCTGTTGCTGCACCCTAACATCAAAACCCATTGGAGTTAAATTACTATGTCTCATTACACTTTAAGTAGCCAGTCAGTAAGCACCCAAATGCAAGGCCCATTGTTCGATCCTTGCATCCACAACAGTGTTTTACTAGCTTTTTTCCACGTATTACATTACGCAATTGTTATGTTTTAATGATGCAATATGTATGTATCTGTACGTGTGTCATGCGTAGACCCAAAGAGTTAATTAAATTTGTAGTGTACATACATATGTGTATGTAGTAAACCTCTCGAAATGCAGCAAAACATGCGAAGGCACACATTACACTGTACGGTACGCGTTAGATGAGTCCAAACATAGTTTCCCGCTGTATCTCTTCCCCCTGGTCTCCCCAGTCTCTGTCCCAGTCCCTGAACCAGTCGGAGGAGGCCAAACAGCTGCTCGCCACTGCCAAGACCATGCTGGAGGCTCTGCAGCAGACCATCGACCTCCTGAAGGACACACAGCTGTCAGAGTCAGAGCTGAGTCCCCCGGCGAGCGTTGAGGCCACACCCCCTCCGCTCAGCCCTTGGGAAGCAAACAGAGACCTCGCCACTAATGAGGTAAAACTAATGCCTTACTGTAGTATGTACAGTTCAGTGCAGTGTGAACACTGCTAAAAAGCCCATAAAAGATGTACATATAGAAACACTCTCCATTATGGTCCCATACATTATGATGCTGTGTACCAGTGAACTTGTGTTTCTATGTTTTGATTTCTGTCACAAGCATGCCTCTAGGCTCTGGTCCGATGTATGTATATAAGTCAGTTATTTAGTCTTAAGCAGTTTTAAAGCGCTTTATATGTAAATGGGCCATTTTTCACTTTTTGATTCGCTCTGTGATTTCAGGGAGAGGAAGTTGCAGAGGCAGAGGTGGAGGAGGGAGGGGAAGGGGGGGATGAGGGAGAGAGGGGGAAAGGAGAAGAGGAGGATGGAGAGGAGAGAGGAGGGGAGGGAGAGAAGGAGGAGAATGGGGAAGAAGAAAGCCAAAGGAGGAAGGCGGCACCACTGAGTCAGAGTCTGACAGGTCGGTGATGACATGAAACACTGTTGTGCAGCATGCATGGTTGCTAAGGGTTAACCAGATACTAGAGTGTACTGGAATGTTTGAAAAGCAAGTCTGTTAATGGTTGCTATGCTGTCGGGAATGTGTATGATGTCACTAGAAAGGAGAGGGGAGAAGTGAGGGTGTGAAGTGGAGAGCTATTGTAACCACTTTCTCACCAGTTTTTTGTAGCGCAACATGCATCCTGGGGCTGAGAGAGCTGCGAACAAGAAAAGGGCATTACGACAATGACGAATGCACACAGCACTCACCAACTGCTGTATTCAGCTCTGCATGGGCCAGATAACCAGCCAGCGTGTTCCTCTACATTCCACTTCATTGACCCACATTCCTTTAGAAGAAGACAACGCTAGTACATACCTACACGTACAGGTCTACGTACGTACGACGTAGGGATCAGTGTAAATTGTACTATAGACTGCTGCATATCTGGAAGCCTTGAGACCCGCCCGAGCTCCTTGTTAGAAGGTATCCCTAATTCATACCTCTGTCACGCCTTTGTGGGGTATGTTCTGTGATTTCGGTACCATAGATACAGCACCACTGTGCTGTTATATTACTATCAAGTCTGTAAGACTAGCTCAGTTGTACAGTGAGAGAGTTTAGGAGAGTTTGCTAGCTGGTGTGTAGTAGTGAGTGTCTTGACTGGATTTTGGGGCCCTGGGGCTAACACTGTAATGTCTGTACTCTATATCAGGTGAGCTATGGCTATAATATGTGCTGTCGTCAGATTTACAAAGTCATTGATGATGCATCCAAGCTATGTAGTATATGTATACCTGGTGTATAGTGACTGGTTTGTGGTTGTGTGCAAAGGGCGAGGTTTTAGGTATTGTGTCTTTGTATGTAGTGCAGGATTGCACGAGGTTTCAACATGAAATCCAGACACTGCTTGAGTGCTTACTTTGTCTGTCTGTCTGTCTGTCTGTCTGTCTCTCTCTCTCTCTCTGTCTGTCTGTCTGTCTGTCTGTCTGTCTGTCTGTCTTTCTGTCTGTCTGTCTGTCTGTCTGTCTGTCTGTCTCCTCTCTCTCTCTCTCTCTCTCTCTGTCCATGCCAGTGAGTCGTCTGATGAGTTCTACGACGCAGACGAGGAGCTAGAGGAACCACCACTGTCACCCATGGCCGGTCGGTCTCAACCACTCTATACCTTCTCTTTCCTTTTTCTCTCTCTTCTCTTCATTTCTCTTTCTCCCCTCCCTCCATCTCTTTGTTCTCATAAATTATCCTTACTCTGTCTTACCGCTCCTCTTCCGCTCTCTCTCCCCCTCCCTCTCTCTCTCTACAGCAGTAGCTATCAGCGTCCAGCCAGCAGACAGCGAGGCTGATCCTTCTGACGTAGAGGAAGACCAGGAGCTACATGAAGATGATGATGCTTCAAGTAAGTCGTGCCGTCTGAAAACTTCCAACTTTATTTCGCGGATTTTATGCAATCACAAACTTTTCCTCAAACACTTTTGGTTTTTATGTGCCGCGCACACCCACCAACCGCATTCGCGTGACCCTTTGAGCGATTTCAATGTACAGTTACACCACCCTTTCTTCCCTCCCTCCCTCCCTCTCTCCCTCCCTCTCTCCCTCCCTCCCTCCCTCCGCATTCTCTCCAGGTGGAGTGGCCCAGAACAGGAGTATCATAATGCACATGTTGTCGCAGGCCAGGGTGGGGATGGACCTCACTCGAATCACTCTCCCCACTTTCATCCTCGAGAAACGCTCTCTTCTTGAGATGTACGCCGAGTTCTTTGCTCATCCTGACCTCTTTGCCTCGTGAGTTTCATTTCCCCCCGTGCCCCTATAATCTGGACATCGTTAGGTCTTGTTTATGTATGTGCGTACAGAAGAGGACTCTATTGTTACTAGAACAAACAGTGAGCGAACGCAAGTGCAGTTCAATTTTCCCCACGCCTATTTGGAATCACGTAAAACATTAGGGTATGTAGTGCCTGTCACATAAATCCTGCATTGAGACGACTATGTAGGTAGGCTCGTTTAGCTTGCCAATTACTAAGTGTGGTGCAGAATATCAACCTTTCTGAAATGTGTGGCATTGGATCAAAATTTTAAACTAAGCATAAGCTTTTTATGAACATGAATGATCCATATGTATAATAGGAAAAAATTTTATGTAAATGTACCGAGCTTCAGAGAGTGTGTGAGCTATGTTGGATTTTTCTCTGTGTCCAGTATTCCAGACAACTCTGACCCTCGCGAGAGGATCATCGCCATTGCTAGGTACTACTGCTCTGCCTTCCACGCTGCCAGAAAGGTGCGTAAATACACAGTACACACGATTGTGGCTTTTATCGCAGCATCGATGTGCATAGAAAACCGTAGAGTTGCACTCTATTGCCACGCAAATCTTCTAGCCTGGTATGTTTATACTGTCTGTAGTAAATTATATAGGAAATGGATCACTTTTCCAAAATGTTTCACATTCAGTACACAGTGTACTAATAAGTGTATGCATAATGATTATTATATGGTGTGTTTTCTGCAGGGTGCAGTAGCTAAAAAACCGTACAATCCAATTTTGGGGGAGACATTCAGATGTTACTGGGATCTGCCGGGCGGGAGGAGAAATGCTCCTGATGATGACTCCAAGGTACACCATCCTCACGTCCACCTTTCACCCCCCCTCTCCCCCACCTCTCCCTCTCAGTTCTATTATGATATATGATGCAATAACGATACTCAAACATTGTATGAGCTATGGGTGGAGCCCCCAGCAATAATACTCGTCTTCTCCCTCTTCTATTCTCTTCCCCGTCTTTCTGTAGCGTCTGATACAGAGCGGACCTGTGCCGTACGCCAGCTACAGTTCAGTCGCATTTGTGGCTGAGCAGGTCTCCCACCATCCACCAGGTAATCTTACACAATAAAAACCATGGAAATATTTAGGAATGGGGATAGAGTTTTGTAAGTCCCACATGCATTGATGTTTTGGTGGGGCTTAAAAATTTGGCAGCTTCACTTGGAACTGCCTAATGTATAATAACATGTTTCATGCGCAGTAAAATGAACCATTGTCTCCCTTTGCTCCCTTTCCCTCCTCCATTTTTCCAATACTACAATTTCTCTCTCTTTCCCTCCGTCTGACGTGACGCAGTATCAGGATTCTATGCCGAGTGTATCCCCAAGAGAATGTATGTGAACGGATCCATCTACACCAAATCCAAGTTCCTGGGTCTCTCTCTGGGTGTCCACCACATTGGCTCTGGTAAATCCAGACTCTGAGATCCATTTGTGAAATTAAAAAAGCTCTAACCTGTAAACGTTCTCTGTTGTTGCTGAAAGTGTTCGGTTCGTTTCTTCCAAACGATCGTACATTGAAAGCCAATATGAAGTCTGTAAAACGTGAAAATTAGTCAATACACACACCGTATTTTCCGGTAAAAGTACATGTGCCACTGATGCATTCATCAAGTGTCCCTTTCCTCCCCTTCTGATGCCCACCAGTTCGACTGTGCCTGATGGACTATGGGGAGGAGTACAGAGTCAACCTCCCCAATGCCTACGCTCGCTCCATCCTCACAGTCCCCTGGTTGGAGCTGGGCGGGAAATGCCACATCGAATGCCTCCAGAACGGCTACACAGCCGACGTGGAGTTCCACTGCAAGGTTTGTCTTGCAGCAGGGAGGGAGGAGGGGGGAGGGGGAGAGGCAAAGAGTTTGGATTTGATGTATGAGCTCTCTTTCATTGCTACAGCCGTTCTATGGGGGAAGAAAGCATCGCATTACCTGCAACGTCAAGTAAGTCTGTTGCATGGAAATGTATTGCTGTGTAACTGCAAGCCAAGTGGGCATCAATAGTACCTTTTTCAAACACAAAAAAAGCTGCTCTGCTGTTTTGTCCGAATGTTTGTGATATGATATGCCAGAATCAGTAACTAAGCTACATACACCAATGTGATTTGAAATTCTGTTTCCTGCAGTCACACGTCAGAGAGGAAACCTCTTCTCAAAGTGGAGGGAGAATGGAACGGTGTCATGCACATAAAACACCCAAACGGAGTAAGTCTTCCATTACCCCCCCCTCGTCCTCGGCACACACTAGTGAAGTTATCCCTTTGACTATATAGTGCCGTCTTAAGAAACCTTATGTACAGTGTGTGTGTGTGTGTATCCTCCAGCAGTATTGAATGGAGCAGATAAAGAAACATAAAACTGTCTCTTCGTCTCCCTCTCTCCCCTCCTCTCCTCTTCTTTCTCTCTGCTGTATCCCGTGTTACCCATCCCAGGAGCAGGAGGTGTTTTTCGACACCATCAACACTCCAACGGTGAAGAAAAAGCTACAGAAGGTCTCGGCCCAGGACCCAGGGGAGTCACGTCGCCGATGGCAACGCGTCACCGAGGCCCTCTTCAGCAAAGACATTGAGGAAGCCACTGACGCCAAACATGAAGTGAGTCCACTTGTTGAACATCATATATAGACGTTTTGCACACTACAGACCTGTGTTTTGTCATTTTTCATATTGTGTTATCATCCAAGGTCTGCTCGTGTCAGCCTCAAAATTTCCAACTGCTGAGCATTTCTGATGGTGTATGTATACACGTGTATATACACAATTCATATGTAGTTGAAGTTGTTGGTACAGTTATAAATGTCGTATTATATGCCTGAAGAAGAGGCAATGAAAATTCTCAATTACCATTGGAGGTTCCACTGTAGAGGATTTATTTGCCCGTTGCAGTTGGAGGAGAAGCAGAGAGCTGATGCGAGGCAGAGGCAAGAGAGTGGAGTTGAGTGGAAACAACAGGTATACTGTAACTAGGGTTCTTATATTATTGCTCACTAAATTTCTCATTCGCCCCAGTTTTTTCACTTGGAAGGTGACACGTGGATCTACAACACCCCGCTCAGCTCAAGGACAAGAACGTCTAAAAGACATATTTAAAACTATAGTATATCAGATATATACCAACATCTTTTCTAGAGCTTCAAACGAGCATTCGCGCGCGCGCGAACAAGAGTTTGCGCATGCCCAGTTGCCCATACTATCGGCGGCGCGCGCGCGCTTTTGTTGTGTGTGTGTGTATATACACACCTCGCCTCTCGTTGTTGTACAAACCCAAAGACTGTGCAGAAGACCGCATGTCACAACTCTACGACGCACTGAGTGGAACTGCATAGCTATTATGGAGGGCGAAGTATGGAGGTTGAGATCCAAGGAGATTTGGACGCGCTGCTGGCTGGTCATGGACGGCGACAGAGGCTCCCTTTACTTCTACTCGGTCGGTCAGTGTATGCTTTTGTTTGTGTCCACCGCTGATAGAGCTCACCAGCTGAGCTCGAACGTAATTCAGCCATGTGTAGAAAACACTGAGCATCGACAGCCTGTATATAGAGCAAGCACGCCCTTGATCTAGCTAGCTAGCCGCCTGTGGGATCGAATCAGTGCGTGATTATCAAGTCCGTCTGCAATAGAAGAACTCATCCATCCACTTTTCTCTCTCGCGCTCTCTGCATGTGTGGATGCAGTCGAAGACCAAAAGCGAGTCTCACGGAGAGAGTGTGAGGCTGGGGCAGGCAAGAGTCGAGCCGGAGAACGAGCTCTGTTTCTCCCTGGACTGGGGCTCAAAGAGAAAGATTCTACTCAGAGGTAGATTTATTATGTTACACCACCTGTGCATGTACACTTTTGTTTTTTTGTTTTGTTTGCTCAGCTTTGATTATACATAGCTCTTTCACTAACTTTTGCAGTGCAACTTTCAGGTTTCAGACAAAAGCATGGGCATGGTGTTGAATCAAGACAGAAGTGTTTCTGCACTGACCCATACATAAATAGCTATGAAGTTTTTTTGAAGCAGAATAGCAGTAGAACACCTTGTTCCCTGGTAGCTTGAGGAAGATGGGGGAAATCCTCTCAATTTTCTCCTGGATTAACTCCATCTGCAGTTGAGACTGATGTGGAGAGGCAGCGATGGCTAGCTGCCTTGGAATCTATTACGAGCTGCAGTGAGAGAGACAGAAGTGATGGGGAAGACGGAGCAGAAGACAAAGGAGAGAAAGAAGATGGCTGTGAGAGGATATATGTGTCAGTGTACGGAATAATATTCTTAGGATGCTCAGTCTAGCTGCCCTGGTAGCTCAGTGGTAGAGCAGTCGTCTAGAGAATAGTGTCATGGGTTCTAGTCCCACCTTAGGTAGCTCCTTTTTTTTGAAAAAGTGTTGTCCTAGGTGCCGTCGTTGTGCACTTGCCTTGTGTTACATCACTTCACCGCACAAAGTTTAACACTCTCCCTATACTTTTCTTGTAGCAGTCGATTTTTTGACGAGGAGTTCTGTGATGCTGATGAGAGGGTTGCCCCCATTTCTCCAGCTAGTGACGTGAAGCCTGGGAGCCAGGCATGGGAGGTGGAGGAAGACCCAGACTATGTAGAGAATGAAGACATGGCCAGTGAGTGTGCCTACCAACACTGACACCACGCAAGTTCGTCGTTCTTGACTTGTTCTTGACTTTCCCGTGCTTCCCAGACAGAATATTATGTAATGTTTTTATGCACATTGGCATACTTTAGGTGTGCCAATCAGTAACAGAAGCACTGTGACTTGTAATGAATAAGGCTATGCCTACACGTATGGTTGCCTCGACTTTGATACAGACTGGGCATGCAGACAGCATTATATACACTTCGCCTGCATATCATCTGCTTGTACTATGACCTTTCTTGTGCAGCTCAGAACGCAGCTCAGAACGCAGCTGTACAGTGCATTTTCAAAGCCCCCTGTGTGTTAATTTCATGTAACCATCTCTGGTCTGTGTATCTCCACGTCGATCACACACAGGTAGCATGTCGCAGAATAAGAGTGTCATTATGCACCTACTCTCGGAGGCGAGAAGGGGGCTGGACTTGACACACATGAGGCTCCCTGCCTTTATGCTGGAGAAGAGATCCACTCTCGAGATGTTCTCGGGGTTCCTGGCACACCCCGACATTTTTGCAGCGTGAGCACAACAACCGTCTTTCTCTCCCGAAACTCTCTCAATGTTCTATTTCAGCTGTGGGCAAGTATACAAGGCAGATCAAGGGGGCTGAAGCCCTCCTTTTCTTCAGTTGTAGCATTGCCAGAGCCTACTCACCTGAACGCAGCAGCCCCCACCCTTTGTATAATGCACCTAGCCGTGTTTTATTAACCCCTGTGCTTAAATCTTAATGGTGTGGGCATTGCCTTTGACAAGCTCCCATCTTGGCATCTTCCCCTTGAGTGTATGGACCTTGATCTATGGATGTATATATACCTGTAACATTATTCTCCTCCACAGTGTTCCTGACCATGCTAGTGCAAGAGAAAGAATGGTGACTATCGTCCGGTTCTACCTCTCTGCCTTCCATGCCACGAGAACTGTGAGCCCCGCACTCCACTCAACACACAGCTCTCACCTCACCCCTCCTCTCTCTGGCTGTCTGTCTCTGTCTGTCTGTCTGTCTGTCTGTCTGTCTCTCTGTCTCTGGCTGCCTGTCTGTCTGTCTGTAAGTGGTTCTCTTTTTATTTTTTGGGGAAAACTGCCTGTGAGAACCTTTTATAAGCCTTAAAAGTCTCTCTGAACCAATTCAGAATGTCTCTCTCTGTCTGTCTGTCTGTCTGTCTGTCTGTCTGTCATAGGGCAAAACAGCTACGAAGCCATACAACCCAGTGCTGGGCGAGACCTTCCACTGTTTCTGGGACCTACCTGGTGATTCCTCGTCCACTACTACCACTGCCACCAGTGCCCCTCGTCCTGACACACAGCAGACACAGGTATGTTAATAGACATTACTGATTGAGAGGTTTCCTTTTATAGGTTAGTATCGGCACAAGATCCATACAAGTGTCCTTTTGTCAGATGTTCCCTCGTGGGAAACCCGCCTGTGGGGGTTTGAAGCCTTCCAAAGTGTTTTTGTGAACAATTGCTAACGTTTCTCTCTCTTGGGTTCAACTGTATGCACTGTAGCATTCTCAGACTGACGACTAAGTACGTAGGTATTTTCTACACATGTATATGGGGCTATGATAGGTGATTCTTTACTTATCTATAGAGCCTAGTGGAGAGTGGACCAGTGCCATATGCCAGCTATAACTCTGTTTCATTCACAGCAGAGCAAGTGTCCCACCACCCACCAGACGTGTAACAAATCACAAAATCACAGGTGTTCTAGGGTATCATGCATTGGCAAGTAAAAATGATTCGAATGACTGACTTTGTTAGGCCTCCCTTCTTTTTCTATGATGCAACATCCCTACACCCCCTTCAAAAAAGTTTTTTCCACTTTTAAAAGGGGATCAATGATGTATACAGCTAGTGCTCAATACTGCAGAACAGGAGTTACGGTCGTTTTTTTTTTTGCAGTGTCTGCATTCTATGGCGAGTGTGTTCCAAAGAGGATGTACGTGACTGGCTCCATCCACACAAAGATAAAATTTCTCGGACTGTCTGTTGGCGTATACAACACTGCCTCTCGTACGTGTAGGATACACAAAACTACTGTGTATCTTGCTCCCAAATGTTTCCTTTACTGTGTGTTCTATATGTATTCTCTCTGCCAAAAATGGCTGGACTGTACACCCACCAACCAGAAATATGTTTTCGTTCGTGCATAAACCCAACTTTTAAATTTGTTGCGTTCCAAGTATTTGCCTTTCCTCTCCTTTCCATTTGTATACCTCTCCACTCCACTCTCCCTTGTTTCTTACCCCATCTAGTGAAGATACATCTGCTGGACCATGGAGAGGAGTACACGATGACTTTCCCCAACACCTACATCCGCTCCCTGCTCACCTACCCCTGGCTGGAGCTCGGTGGTCGAAGTACCATCTCCTGCGCTCAGACTGGCTACTCGGCCAACTTTGACTTTCACTGCAAAGTATATACCACAGCATTATCTGAACATTTGGCTAAACTAGTCATCCCAAAACTAAAACAATTTCCCCAGGCTTTTGATCTATATTATAGTGGATGACTGATGCAATTTTTTCTTCTATTATTCTGCAGCCATTCTATGGTGGAAGGAAACACCAAGTCTCATGTGAGATCAGGTTAGGCAGCTGCGTGCCCCGAGGACAGGGGATTAAGTTGCATAACTCAACAATTTGGTAGCGAGGTAGAAAGGCAAGGCAAGGCAAACAAGTCAACTACACCCAGGACAGCTCTCTCTTTTCAAAGTCTAGGCGAGCGCTCTACCAACTGAGCTACCAGCATGGTTATGTAACTGGCATAACAATGTCGGTAGTATGGCAGTATATAAGGCTTTAGGCTGTAACTGACCTCTTTATGACCTCTCTGTAGTAAGCCACACACAACTCTAAAGGAATCCAGCCATTCTGCTAGTGGAACATGTACTAATACTGCTGTGTGATCTACCCTATGCATACTGTTGAGAAGCTGTTGGTTGGTCTTCCCCCATAGTCACAAATCTGAGAAACTCCCGTTCCACAAGATCGAGGGAGAGTGGAACGGAGTCATGTACACCAAGTTCTCCAAGGAGGTCAGCAGACATTTCCCCCTCCCTTGTCAGACATTTCTAATATCTCCCCACCTCCTCCTCCTCCCTTCCTCTTCCCTATGATTTGTTTCCCAGATTTGTCCGAAACTTGAAAGTTTGCGATGGGTGGATTTTGGCTCCCTATAACAATATTTTGTGAAAATCTCATCCTCTATATTAATATCCTTCCTCGCCTCTAAATCCTTCCGTCAAGTGACTTTTGTACTACTCCTCCATTGTCTTGTGTCTATGACAGAGACGGGACGTGTTCATGGACACGGTCAACACCCCAACACGGAGGAAGAAACTGCTGACACTCTCGGCCCAGGATCCGGGGGAGTCTCGTCGCCGATGGCAACACGTCACCGAGGCCCTAGCAAGGGGCGACATTGATACTGCGTCGCAAGCCAAGCATATTGTGAGTGCCTGCCAACCTCATTACATGCTGAGCAGCTGTGTTGTACAATTGTGGGACATTTTTGTAGGCTCTTTGTGCCATCAAAATGCGTTAGCCTATGTAGCTCTGCGTTAGCCTATGTACGGCTCATGCAGAGCTACTCAAAGACTTGGAATCTTGCCAGAGTTTCTCTTGCCTTTCTGCCCGACATCCTACACAGAGAAGGGGCTCGAATGTTATGTCAGTGATGTTGGAGAGGAGTTCCACTGTATTAGTGTGTGTGTGTGTGTGTATTTGTCAGGTTGAGGAGGAGCAGAGAGCCGACGCTAGACTAAGACAGGAACAGGGAATAGAATGGCAACCTAAGGTACGTATACATTACTAACATTCTTAGGGAATTTGGGCAGGTGATGCAGATTTCATTGACTTTTCAAAACGGTCAAACTAAATGGATAGGTATAATCGTGGGATTGTTGCATAGCTCCTGGCATATTCATAGGGTGCACTCCAAACACTCTCTCATTTAAATAAGAAAACTAGTTTTTCAAGTGAGGGTATGAACTGAAGAAACCTCATGTCACTTTACTGAAAACCTTCCTGCACATGCAAAAGTGCCGGAAGCATGTTTCCAGCACATTCAGAAAAGTGCAGGAAGAATTTTAAAATGTGTAGGAAGAACTGTGGAAAGTGTAGGAAGGATTTCAAGAAGTGGTGCCGGAAATTTCTTACATTTTGCTTGAAATTCCTGCACATTCAGGAAATTTCCGGCACATTCCCCATACTGTGAGAGTGTTTACCAGAGAAGGTTTACGGCAGTCGTGTATGTATGTATGTATGACCTACGCTACGACTGTCTTGGTGCACCTGGTACCGTGCAAAAGGAGTGACCACATGTTAACGTGTGTTGCTCATAGTGCATGTAGTAGGTCCTCTGTTTGTGCTATCCAGTATAGCCTAATCTCTGCCATTGGCTAGCTGGATTCCCACATATATTTTCTCTCTGTCTTGCAGTATTTTCATGCAGAAGGTGATGGCTGGGTCTTTAACTCTCCTCTTTCTACTAGATTGAATCAAAAGTAACAATTTTTGTGTTGTTTGCCTATTTATCGCACCTCTTTTTATGGTTAAACATGTGATTTTACATCTCACATACATACATACAAAGAATCTGATTGATGAGTGAATCAATTAATGTGATTTTAACGAGTGACTGATAATCTGTGATTGGTTTTAAAATTGTTCACACTTTTTCGGTGCTACACTAGTGACTGTACTGTCTTTGAGCCGTCAGGGTTGTGCCTGTATATACAGAACATAACGATAATTATGTCTTACAGCTAGAGGAATGCAACACATGTTGGCGAGCGAGCAAGAGCAGTTCAATATTTCGAGCGTATTTAGAATCACGTAGAACATTACGGTATGTGCAGAGCGTCAGTAGATATTATAGAGAAATTCCTGCATTGAAACGATGAGGTAGACTCGCTTCGCTCGCCACTAAGTACTCAAATATGTACCAGTCGAATGGCGAAAAGTTTCTCTCTCTAAAGCATTATGGTGGCGTTGGAGGGTTGTGAGTGTGTGTAATCTGACCTGATGAGATGTCGAGATCTGCCGTGTTGAGAGGCTTGGCTACTGCCACTGCTAGAGGGTCCGTTACTGTGATAGTCACCAGGTGGAGAGGGTCTGTTGGATTTACCAGGAGACTGGCCCGCTGCCACACCTCTCTGGGCAGTAGGGGGACCGAGTCTGACAGAAATGGGGAGACAACAGCAGTGATGGAGGGAGGGAGGGAGGGGGGGAGTAGGTGAATGCATGTGTCAATAATGCGGTAGCAAGGCAAAGGCAAAGCAAACTAGTCAACTACATGTGACGCTTGGTCACAGTTATATGGTAGTCCTAGGCATTGGATTAACATTATTGGTCTTACTGTACTGGTGAGCAGCGCGTGTGTAATCTTGACTAGCGTTGTAAGGCCTAAGGGGCTGACCTGGTTGCTATTACGGAGGACGATCCTTGGCCTGACTGCTGACTGCTGCTCCCTGAACTGAGGAGGGAGGTAGAAGACAGGGGAGGCACGCTGCCGGTCGAGTAATGGTGGGGAAACATAACCACTGCCGCTGCTCCACCACCCACCCCTTCCGGGACGGGTCTCCGTGATGTCATAGGGGGCGTGGCCATCGAGATCACGCCCACCGGGAACCCGCCAGGGTACCCCGGAGTAAGAGTTGGGGCCGGGGAGCCCTCGTGGGAGCTGGCTGCACTGGGCGGCTCAAGATGGATACTCCGAGAGGAAACGGAGCTGGTGTAGCTCTCGCACGAGTGTCGTGGGTTAACTCCCCTCCTGCGCAGCTCCTGATCTGCCCACGTGACCGACTTCTGCGGAGAGGACAATGCTGCTATTCCTGACGCTGTTACGGCAGTTTGCTGCCCTGTTTCTTCATCGGTTGCCACGGCAGGCATGTCACCTGTCTCCTCGCACCCCGACCCACGCCGGTACCACATCGGGTCCGCACACGGCTGAGGCGAAGAGAGTCGCGTCTCTATATCGTCCAACTCTCCCTCTCTTGCCACCTCTGGTGGGGAGTCACTGCTGTTTCTCGTGTCTCCCTGGTCGTAGCGTCTGTGGGGGTCTACATCGGCAAGACTGAGTCTTCTCTCCCGAGAACCACTGTGACTGGTCAGGACACAGAGGGAACCCTCAACGCTGTCCCTGCTCCACCTCCCCTCCCCCTCTCTCCTCCCTTCATCCTCTCTCCTCCCCACTGCCACATCGTCACTACTCCTCGTCCTTCCCCCATCCTCCGCGTCGCTCTGCCCTATAGTCGAAACACCCGACGGGTCCATTCGAGACAAGTCATCTGTATCTGGTGTTCCTTCGTGGGCCGTGCAACTGATTTCAACAGAAGCAGGCCGCACCACTTCATGCTCGTGAAACTCAGAGGCACTGACGTGATACCACGCTCGTCGTCCACGACCCACCACTACTTCTGAATCAGTCTCGATATCGGCGTCAGACGAGGGCGGAGCCACTCTCGGAGGGCGGAGTACTGGGCGTGGCTGGCGGGGTCCGGAGGTCCTGTGGGCGGAGCTACGATGGGTCCCGGGGAGAGGACCGGGTGTAGAGGTGGGTGGGGTTCTGGTTGAGGTTGGCCCGCGAGGTCTGTCACCGGCTATCCGGGAGTATAGCGGCTCAGATGTGTGTGGAGTTCTGGGATGAGCCTCCATACTGAACACTGGGGGGAGAGAGAGGAGAAAGATGGGGGATGAGCACAGTACACAGGGTCAGAAGCGAAAGAGAAAGCACGGGAGTCAAACTCAACTGAAAGCCAAGAGCACTATGTTAACAACAGCTGTCTTTCTAATTCCCACTGTACTGTTTTACTCACTGACAGCAGTAAACTTGACAACAGCTAGATAATGCTATGTAGATCAGTCCTACAAGAAACATAGCTAGATCAGGTAATGGCTAGAAAAGATCAGATCAGACTACGTACACTGACTATCGATAACGAGCAGACCGACTGTTGGAGCACAACAAAACGTACGTACGCCAGGTCAAGGTACACACATCAGTAGTTATAGCCAGAGAACCGAGCAATGACAACTCAACCATCTATCTTTTCCTATTATCATAGCAGCACGTAGTATCCTCCTACATGTACGTACGTACATCTGTACATTGTGTAAAAAGACTAACTCTCTTCCTACACAACACAGTATACAGAGTAGCCAATAGCTACAGCAGTACATTCACTGAATACTGTACTATACCAAGTTATATACCTATAGCATCATTGATCTATACATAGGTCTGTCTCCTATACATCTTGATGGAGTCAGTGTCTATGCAACTTACAGTCGATGCTAGTAGTAGGTCCCTGCTCATGTGATAGCCTAGCCGCCATTCTTGCCTCGTTCAACAGTCTCTGCTGTCTCTGGTAATGGCCCCCTCTCTCCCTGCCAGTGGGTGGAGCACGAGGCAGCGAGCCCGCCCCTCCTCCTCCTCTCCCTTCTCCTCCTCCTCCCCCAACTCTAAGTCTTGTCAAAAATGAGTTGCTGTCGGCCATAGCTCTCAGTGAACTGTTCTGATACTTTGGCTCCAACTTTGCCAGTATCGCACTGCGAACCTGCAGGGAGTACACATTATACGTACGTATACTTACACAACAGTAGCATAACCACAGAGGGAAGAATGGTGTGTTGTGTAAGCAGACAGCGATGGGTGTGGGTTGTGAATGGAAGAACTGAAGTAGTGTGGCAACACACGTACTGTACATCAATCATTGACAGGTACACACACACGACAAAGACTATATGGTCACGGCACATTCAGCTATAGCGTGGATCACAAAAGGATCTACAGTTTGCCATGGTTTTCTGATGCACACACTATGTACTGTTCTAAAGGGCCAATTATTGCAAGAAATTAAGGGGCACATATAGATGGTTTGTAACACATGCTTCTCAATACTTGATTGGACAATGCGCTGACTCTAGTTTTCGTAGATGTCCAGAAACTTCCAATTATAGTCTGGAGAACATACTACATACACCGTCGCACAATATTTGGCAGAATAATCAGCTAAAATGTGCAGAGTGAGAAAACGTCCAGAACATTATTATACAGAGACAGAGGAACCTGAAAATAAAACCTGTTTTCTCTGCACCGACCTTCTTGTTAAGTCCCAGAACGACAAACATGAATCCGCTGAGTGATGTGAAAGAAATGGCGAAGACGATCTCCAGTATGGCGCTGGTGGGACCGGGGAATGCGTGGCCGTAGATCGCCAGTAGACCTGACCCAAGGGTCACCAGGTAGAGGGAGAGGGACACCGTTATGATCCCCAGGTGACGTCTGGGGAAGGAGGGAGGGAGGGAAGTGTATTAAGAGCTGGGATGAGCTAAAATGTGAGTTTGAACTCATTGCCATGCCTACAACAGATTTCTGTTCATTTCGTTTTTCCGCTAATTTTAAACCGTAACTGTGGCTCATTTCTATGCATCACAGCACACGACAAAATGAAAGACTGCAAAAGGCATAGTAAAAGACTTGCGATCCAGCTTTGCTATATCAATATATACATACGTACCTGGTTCTGTTTTGAGAGGCAGCGATTTTACCAGGAGTCGTGTTGTACGAGTCGCTGCCTGGTGTCCTCTTTGATTTTTGGGTCTTCATCAGAACTACAACCACCACCATCGACACTACCACCAACTGCACCAGAACACGCAGAGAGAGAGAGAGAGAAAACAGAGAAGTTTAGTTTGGAGCAGGAGGTTAATGGAAGGACCAAAGCTGTCTTACCAGTAGTAGTATTGCAATGGGTGTCAGTAACACCAGTACCATATCTGGAGCCACCAGGCAACTGTCATGGAGAGGATAGTGCTGTATGTACGATCTGCGTACTATTGAGGTAGACATATTATGTATCAGTGGCCAATGTAGGCCGCATAAGAAGTTTAAATTTTCAGTCACCTTACACTGCAGATTATACAAATTTGCATTTCCTCCAAGTTTATCCGCTTAACTAGCAAATTTGAGTGCCACGCCCACTATTATTCATCCCGAGGCACACTAAACCGGCTTGAAGGAAGTAAGATCGTCTTACAAGTGAGGGTAGCCAAAGTCCTGGTGGAAGGAGGAGCTAGCCATGGCAACCACGCCCACTGGTATCACACACATGAGAGCCGGAACAGCTGCAAGTAGAGAGTACAACCCTCGAATAAGAAAGGAGTTCTTTCTTCATATACTTCATGCACTGACTACAGTGTATATACCTGCCTGACTGACTACCTCTCTAGTTACATAGTAGCTACATTGTGTTTATTTAACCCTGGAAATTATAGTGACACATAAAAATAAGAGAGTGGGAGGGAGGGAAGAGATATATATATATATACTAACTCCAGAGGCCAGCGACAAGGCAGGCAGTGGCGAGACAGCTGGCTGACTTGGGAGGTGGGTGGAGCAACAGACGGGCGGTGACCACACCCACCACCAGGAGCCAGAAGAGGGCGGAGACAAAGAGGAAATCCAGGAAAACGGCAAACACTGAACACCACACCTGAAGTGGCGACAAAGAACCAGAGCATTATTTCCCCCACATGCACATGAGGAATAACTGGCGATAGACCTTTTCAGGCTAAAACTGTCAAATTATTAGTTTACTACACATGTATTGCAACACAGAACCTTACTATAATTATTATACAATTCTCTTTGCCAAGTTTTCTTAAAATCTGAACTGTCTGTACTTCATTCTATGGGTGGGTTAGTGTGTACATATGCTAGCTGCGTGTCTTACCGGAGAGTTGGTTCTGTCGATGCCAACAAGAAAGGCGAGAGATGTGAGCAGGAGAGAGAGAACAAGGTTCTTGTAGACTGTGCTGTGCACATTCCCAGATGACCATCTTATCCACAACAGCAGGTAGTGAGGGGATACGTGTACAGGGAGAGAGAGAAAAGAAGAGAAAGTGCAGTCATTGCAGTATTCTTTCCCATAACACAGTGGCGTAGGAACCGTTCCTACGCTACTGTAATACATACACTGACGGAAAATACTAGCAGATTGCGCTACAAAGAACAATTAAAATCAAGCTCGATAGCCGAGTGCTAAGTGAGGAGAACCCAGAGCAAAATATTCACTTGTGAGCCTAGATTCAGCTCGTAAGCCCAGTGAAAACTAGAGAGCTCGGTGTAATGCAATACATTGTGTGTGGTGAGAGTGAGAGTAACCTGATTATCCAGAGAGCCATGGTTGTGAGGAAGAGGAGGAAGACGGATAGACTCAGACAGACATAGGTGAAGATTCCCGGGTGGAAATCACTCCCACTTCCTTCCCCCTTCACTGCCTGCGCACAACAGCAACGACAAACAGGTTACACATCCGAACAAACAATAGTGTGAACACATTGGCCGTCAAGGCAAATTACAAAGTTAAAACAACACAATCCACACTATAATTTTTCAAAGGCGTATGCTATGAATAATGGATACCACTATCTTCAATAATGTGATCTTCATTGTTGTTAAGTCCCCCACCCTACGTACTTGTGTTACGTAACCGTTTAGCTCCAGCTCATCACCAAGAAGGAGGAGGAGGGGAGGAGGACGGCGAAGGTAGAGAGATGGCGACAGGAACAAGTGGTATGTGTGGCATTTCCACCGATTACTTCACAACCTCCTTCAACCCAGCCATCCCTGCAAGTTGCAAAACACATCATACACCAACATAATTATTCCGTGCATAGCGGTGAAACTTGCAAGGGGGAAGCTCCCACGATTGCTGTATTATTTTGTCAGAGAAAATTTAATCTTATCCCCTTCCCGAAAAATTGCAGTGGAAACGCTTATTTTTGACACTGTACGGTGAAATTCATCCCTCGAAAGACAGCGTCTCGCTACGTACATGGTAGATTTCGATCACACCGTCTCTCCAGCATTATAATACAAGTAGCACAATTTTGTCCAAAATCTTGCTGACATAATATTACGAGGGCATATACGTGTGCAAGTGATGTACGTATAACTCTCACCCAGGTCCTGAAGTGTCTTGCCAGATGACACACTTGGCATCGTCCTTGCTGTACACATGGGCCTATGTACATGAATTGGTAATACATACATGCATGTACACAGACCATAACACCATTAGGTGTGCTACGTGTCAGCTTGGCCATGTCGTGCAGGCATACAGACTACAATAGCTCCTAACAGCTGTAGCCAACTAAGCTGTAAGGTCTATGCCAAAGGCAGTATATGGCAAGAGCTCTAAGTGCGTGCCTGCTGACCTGGGCACCCATGTTGGCTATAAATTGCAGGGTACAAGTAATGCCCATGTGTCATGTGTGTCACCATGCCAAGTTCTCTACGTCACAGCGAAGTAATGTGCATATTTGTCAACAGATACTTACTGGCTAAATGCATGCTAGTTTAGGCACACCTTTAAAATCTCCGTAGATTAGAAACCAGAGGTGCATATATATATAGTAGCATGAATGCCACCTCCATAAGGAGCGGAAGGGTCAGATTTCTACAGACGAACTATGAGCTAATTTGGTCATATAAATCACATCACGATAGTACATTATAGTTGTATTCCATTGTCCAGTCTATAACCCCTAGCCCTGCCCACTTCGTATTCCATTGTCCAGTCTATAACCCCTAGCCCTGCCCACTTCTCGTATTCCATTGTCCAGTCTATAACCCCTAGCCCTGCCCACTTCTCGTATTCCATTGTCAATGAGTTAAGAACGGCTCATTTTGATTACTTGCATTCGCTCTTCAAAAATACATCGCATTCACCTACCTTTCTGTTGTGAGCGAAGGTGATAAGGACAGGAGTTAAGAGGTTGTTGCCACGGGCAACGACCCCTTCGTTCCACACCTGTACGCTCATCACGGCAGACGCAACAGTCATGTTTGTGTCGTTGGCAACGACAAAGGACGAGGGAGGGAGGAGAGGGGATAGGGTGGGGTACACTGCCACAATGGCATCGAACATCTGACCAGGCTTGTTTGAAACTTTTCCCAATTGGAAGGAAAATGAACAGAAGATGTTGTCCCATTCTCAATACTCAGATAGACGACAGCTCCGGTGAACTTGGCGGTAGTGATGTTAAGCATCGTCCTGACGACCAGATGGGGTCGCGAGGCTCCGCCCTTCGACTGATAGAGGTTGAATAGGGTTGAGAAGAGTTCGAAGGTGGAGGGGAGGAGGGAGGGAGGGAAGCCGGTGAACTCGGAGCTGGTGGGTGTCCAAGAGGAGACGTAGGCGGGAGAGAGAAAATGGCTGATGACTGTCGCCATTGCCTGGGGCAGAGGGAAGTGTCACATGATTTTTTAGCCAATGGGGAAAACATCATATACGTACGTATGTGACGTGATTAAAAGTTTTGTTAAAAATGTCCACTACATTTGGACAAAATAATTATACCTCCAGTAGAAGTCTCTGGTTTTCACTGGGATGTTGGTTGGCACTCTCCACCAGTTGATGAGCCACTTCCCTCACATATCTCCCCACTGCACTCAGATCACCACCAGACACGCCCCCTGCCACGCCCCCTCGGAGGTACGACCCGACGTCCGACATGGAGTAGAAGAGCTCATGAATATTCATAACCTGTCTCTGGCGGACAGACGCGGCGTCTCTGAGGAACTGCTGAGCTCTGAGAGATAAACAGTCTCTCCTGTCGGCCTCTCCCCACAGCCCACCAACCACACACTCTCTCCTCACATACCCTGCGAGAGAGCCATAGCACGCATGTGACAACATACATACATCAATAAAATGATTTTTTTCCTTCTTTGCAAACGAATGCTGGAGTGCAACACTGCTGTACGTGATGTTTTCACACGCAGGAAAGTGGCAGGATAAAATTAGATAACTATGGGTAGGCTCCACCAATAATTGAAGAGATAATCAGCGTGTACGAGGCCACATTGGTGCGATCAGTTCGTGCACGCCGTGGTTTCTTGGATGTGGAGCGCTGTGAATGCAAGGTGCGGGTGCTTGCGTTCACAGCGCTCCACGAACCGAACCGAACCGAACCGTTTGAACATGGCATTCTGGTGTCGGGTGTGTGCGTGCCATGCCACCACATCCAGGTGTGTCCGCGTGATGCGCTCGCGCACGGTTCGGACGGCGGAGTGGACATTTACCAATGTTGGGTGGGTCACAAGGGGCAGTTGCAGTGGAGTGTTGGGGGATACTACTCCACAGGACACCTCCACTGGAGTGTCCTACAGGGCAGACTCCGGTGGGTGTGGCACAGTCGTGGGGGCGTTGAGAGGGATTGAAGAGGTAGGGACAGCTGTCACAGGAATCAGGAGCTCCATCTTGGTCCACATCTGGCCCTGTACACGACTGAGGCAGGGAGGAGAGGGGTTAAATATACTCATACCACCCAGTCACAACAGAAAATTATGTAAAAAAACGTAATCCAGGTAATATCCTGTAAATTGGATACATGAAAAAAAAACCAGGTATGAAAGCTTGTGTATACCTCATTGATGTTCTTCCTGCACACCACTCCATCCAAAGAATGAGTATCGGGACATGTATCACAGGCAAAGGACTGTGGTCTCGTGGGCGTGGCCTCCGTGAGGACACACCTACTGACCTGGTCACATGACTGGCAGTCAGCTGCAAAAGAGAGACCAGAGAGATTTGTTGCTCAGGTGTTGAACTACGACGCTTCTTACGTTTTCAGGAATACAGTTTGTGTAAGTCTTCGTATAGTGTCGGAGGTCATCAAAATTAAGGTGTAGCACCCATTTTTTACAAATATTGTAGCCATTTCGATTGCGATTCTGAGCACGACTGCTATATACCAAAGGTTACATCACATGTCCACTTGCATGCACCCCCCCTCCCCCCTCCCCCCCTCTCCTTCTCCCCTCTTACTGAGTAAGAAGTGTGAAGAGGTGTCGACCTGGTAGGCACCAACCCATCCGGAACGGACCACCCATTGTAGTACAGAGGCCAATGTATGGAGATGATCATCAGGGAGAGGATGACCGGTGTGGGGACGAGTAGGACGACACTGTATAGTTGACGACCACTCTTCCTGAACTATAGGATGAACAGATCAAGACATTTACGCATTATATTGAAACATCTATGCATACAATGTGGGTTTCAGAAGCCCCTGAAATTATATGTTTCTGCTTTGTATGAGGTACGGAAGGAGCGTTCTGATTATTTGGTGAACAAAGAAAGCACGCCTATAATTATAGTTATCTGAATTGCACAAGGCACATTCCACCCCATAATGCAACAGAGAATGCAACAGAGAATCCAACCCTGGAATTTGCTTGCTAATTATGCATTTGCATTGCCTATTGTATGGTGCAATCCTGATAAAATCTCTTGCCCTGCCAGTATCAAGCTGCATGTTTACAGCAGAAATTGCAAGCCACGGGCTACCCTCACACATAGCTTTGACAGAGTGTGTGACTGTTGATGCAGGGAATTACATTAGCAACACGCCTCGTTTAGCTTCCGCCAATTAGCAGTATTAGTCACGCAGTCTCTCTTAGGCTAGGTCCACAATATGGCGCATTGCCCCGTCGCGCCGTGGCGCGAAGATAGAAATGGAGTCTCTCCTGGCGGCGCGGCAACACAGCACGGCTCGACGGGCCAATGCGACACATTGTGAACCTAGCCTTAGGCTGGTAAACTTGTTGGCATACCTGTTTTTCAAACTGGTTATCTTCACTTGTTCCTCCCCAGGGATGGCGAAAACCTCCAGTGTCCTCTTTAGCTGGTGAAAAGAAATGTCAGATATTTACGTACAGACTAAGAGCAGGTATTATATAGAGCCTTTGAAAGGAGCACCACGTGTCGTACACAAGACTAGAATGAAAGCACTGCATTATTCGGCGAGCGAACACAAAGTGCAAATTGCAGTTCTACATGTAATAATGTGAAAAAAAATCACCGGAACTTCTACATGCCTGCAAAGTAAGCAAGTGGAATGTGAAACTTTGTAGATGATTGCCAGTAATCGATAATGGAAGAACGAACACTTATAATGAAACCCATCATAAGGTATTCATGTTGTCACCTGTAGGGCGAGATGGGAGGTGAGGTGGTAGAGATCTGGAGAGCCTCGTCTGTCAAAGGTCGAGGACTGGTAGGAGACTGTGGTCAGAGTGAACAGTCCCCTCACCACCACCGCCTCTGTATGGTTCATAATACACGATGCTGTTACTTACATATTGAGATGGTGCCAAGTTAGCGCACGTATTATGCATCGAGCCTTGACCTTGTCCAGGTCGCATATTACTTAAGCAACCTGAGTGTCAATATGCATAAACAGATGAGTACAGGTCGGACTATAGGCCCTTCCCATTTCAGTGGTGAATCTATGATTTTGAAAGGGGGGTTCCGCTGTCCAGAACATTTTCGGCTGCGCTCGTGTGCGCACACGAGGCCGGCAGCGCACGCGCGCGAAACGACAAAAAGGCCTGGATCTGCCACTGCTTTTCCGAAACACTCAGAAAAACACAAAACTTCCACGAATCCAAGCAATTCATGACAAATGGTAGGCCAGCGTGCGCAGCACTGAAGTTCCTATTGAAACTGTGCACATTTCTCTCCCACTTAACACTGCACGCCGCGGAGAAATACGCTGCGCAATGAATATCCGCACGCCATTAAAGTGGCGCGCAGTGGCGCGCATAGTGTTAACCTTATTACATACATTATGTATACCTTTGCATCCGTCGCTGTCCATTCCGGCAAAACCCTCCATGCACACGTCGCACTTTCTCCCCGTTACACCGGGACGACAGGGGCACACCCCTGTTGACGGGTCGCACTGGGGACCAAGGGAACCAGTCACATGACAGTCACATGGCTGGCAACCAAGGTCACCACGAGGACTGAAGACATACCGTGAAGTCTGTGGAGGCAAAGAGAGGAATAAACATGAATGCTCATTATTGCCCTATCTAGTATAGAAAAGAGTTCGAAGTAGATAGAATGAATCCTACATTGCAGAGGCATCTCCCTGAGCTATCACACACGTCTTCCGTCACTCCATCCTGATGACAATAACACGGCCGGCAGTCCGGAGCTCTGAACAACCCCCTGGGGCAGTCCTCGCCATCCGACTGCTGGCACCTCTCCCCCGAGAACCCCTCCCCACAATCACACCTCACACCTCCCCCCTCCTCCACGGCACAGGTCCCCTCGTTTTGACAGGGGTTGGGGCTGCAGGGGTCCGAACAAATCCCCCCCTCCGTCGGAACGTACCCATCTTCACAGACACACGTGTTAATCCTCCACCCACTGACACAGGTACTGTGGGCGGGGCAGGTGTAATTAGTGCACCTTGACCCCGCCCCACAGCCGGGGGTCGCGCGAAGTGACTCGACGTTTGAAAAAACGGAGTCTGAAGTGTTGCTAATGACGACAGAGGCGAGGTCGAATCTCTGGACGTTGATTGAGAAATCGGACAAGCAGCCGTCGAAATGGTCTCCACTGTTGTCGGTGGTGGTGGTGGAGCCAAGGACGAGTGTGGTCACAGTGAGTGTCAGTGGTAGAGGGTGGCTGGCGGTGGCTCGACCAGAGTCAACTGACATCTGTGGACATTAAACGTATACAGAGACATCATTGCTACTCACAAATTGTGGTTCCAACGAATGGGAATAATGTACAAAGATACTAACACATTATACATGAATTTACTTATCCTCCCCTGCAAGCAAGCCCCAGGGGTGATGCGGCAAAAAACCTACTGCCAAGCACGCACACTGACTAATAAAGAGCACTTTTCGATGCTCGATGTACCCAGAAATGACATCGGTTGATGCTGCAGCAATATATTTTGATTGAGAATGGTTGTGATATCTGCAGTAAACTGCAGTGGCAGCATTCTAATGCTCATTCGTGGGCATATGTGACGTTGAAATATCTTGTGTGTGATATACGTATAAAGTCTGTGACAAACAAATGCACGATCACAAAGAGTGGGACACGGATGAGTGAATGCACTACAAGAAACCACACGCCACATTTCACACCTTATACCACACACCACTATACACACTACTTGGGATATACAGTATGTATATATATATGCAGTGTTAATATAATAAACAGCGCTATATACAAGAACACACACATTTCACACCTTACTTCAACATACCTTATACCCCACCCCACCTTATACACACTACTTGGGACATACAGTATAATATATGCAGTGTTAATACAATAGACAGGGATTATATAGTCCATGGGTTTCTAATGCAGGTAGATTTAAAGTGACAAGCATTCAAACTTATTTACCAATTGTGTGTTAGCAATATCCGTGTGAGTTGATATGTGGGGAAACTTGTCGACATTTTACGAGATTCCGTCACACGTTTTCACACATGAGTGACTACTAAATTGGGCCGTGTTCATTAATTAAAGAGGAAACTATATCGAGTTACGATCGATGTGAGGTAGTTTGCACCACAAACAAAAGTAACATGTTTATCTGACCTTTGTCCCCTCTGCCGTGCTGGTAGTCATGGTGACGGTATGCCAGAGGCCGTCACTGACGGTCGTGTGGAGAGTGAGGGTTGTGAGTTGGGGAGAGGGTGAGGAGGAGGAGGAGGAGGAGTTGTGTGATAAAACCATGGAGCCATCGAGTAGCTATAGTGAGAGAGAAAGATGCATGCTCTTTAGTAAGGGGAAAATCGTTTTATGAGTTACTATACGTAGCAAATAAAATACGCAAATAGCGTCTTCAATGGTTAAAATCATCCTCCCCACCCACGGAATTTCTAAAAACTGCAGAAATTGTGAAATTTTCTGTTTCGACATTGTCATCCTTTCTCCGTGTGGTCTGAATCCTTTTTCCTCTCCCTATACACCACAGGCACACTCACACGCACACTCACACACACACGCACAACCCGAAATGAAACCCGATATCTCACAGCTACTACTAGTTGACAGACAGAGTGCTGGACTTGCAAGGTATACGTTTACACCAAAGATTCCGACAAATTTGTAGCTGGTTAATTCCAACCTAGCCATTTGCACCGTTCCCATATTTCCAGGCTAAACCTCGTGGCACCTACAACACAAGGTGGCCCACACAAGTTATGTTGCTTCGTTCCCAGGTTTGCGTAGTCCGTCACGATATTCAAGAAACTGCTTTTCGACCTACGCACGTATATATACATCCCTCAAATATATTATGTCTGTGCGCCACCACAAGAGTGGTTTTTGAATTGCAATCTCTTAACTCCCCTTCCTCCTCCATTTAGATCTCCAATTAGAAGGCATTATCAGAGTAATAGGCACATCAAATGTGTCATACAATACTTATGAGCAAGGAACAAGCGTCACAACCAAAGTTGCTCACAAGTCCAGCATATTTCCCCAGAGAACATCAAACCGAGTGAAATAGTAAGGGATATATAGCCGATGATCTCTTGTAAACAGTTCCCACTGCACTGAGTTGAACGAGACACAATCGATGTGTTTTCGAATAGAGATCTCGAAGGAATGTAAACAATTGGTCGGCCAATGTAAACAAGAATTAAAGAATTAGACATGTGGTTTATGCGTTCTACTGGTGAGATCCATCTGCCTTAAAACCTGCCAAACATGCACTATAATGCTGATGATTGTGAACTGGTGGCTTAATGCAGCCGTTTCTCCTTCCCACAGAACCTATTATTACTCTATACTACCGTTGAGAGGTAGGTCCACAGCATTAGGTATATACCACATTTTGTTCCGTTTATAGGGGATACATTTGCACATACCACTTTCCCATGAATATTGTACTATTATTCATAGATGCAAACACGTGTGTACTGTGGGGGGTCTGTGTAGCCAGCCGCCTGTGTGCCTTTGTACGTTGTATATACATCTTATAGAAGCCCGTAAATAATCCCAATGAAAAGGTTGACGTGACGGTCGAAAAGGTTTGTTGTTTTGTTGTTTGTCAACATAACCGTGAATTATGCCGGCATTTATGCATGTTTGCATACACGCATAAACGTAAATACTTGTTTACAAGACAACAGTACATTTTGTCGGACAAATTCCTATGAAATGAGTACATGACTAACAATGCACAGTATATCACATGATACACGGCTTTGACAGGTGACTAAGTTGGCAAACAATAACATGTTTGCTCTGCGCTATAGGCATGCATACGTACGTGCTCATAAACCCGGGCATTTGCTTATTCCCCGCACATACTTAACATACTATAGTCTTCTATTGAAGGGGTCAGAGTCAGAGTGGGCCAACCCTCAATATACAACTCTTGCTGGTTTTCCTTCAAATATGTTCTAAATGTCCTTATAGAACAAAAACCGGCAAGAGTTGTATATTGAGGGTTGGCTCACTCTGGCTCTGACCCCTTCAATAATGTACGTGCTCCCAGCAGTCCACTAGAGACCACACCTTCCCAGCATTACTTCGCTCTCTAGTTTAGTTGCTGTGCTGTGCACGCATAGCTGCTGTGGTCACATGCAAAGTATCAACACTTCAATGGTAGACACAGCATTGGTGTCGCTAGAAAGCCAAAGACGGTAGAGCTACATTGTTCATGTCACATGCCAGAAGAAGAAGGGGTCAGATGGCTATGTGCGATTCCTGTCACGTCTGGTATCACCGTCATTGCATGGACATTCCCAGTGAGGTGTTTGGTGAGTCAGAGGTTCACTGGGAGCGTAAGAGGTAAGTATTGAAACGAAGAGGGGTGGAAATGATCATATTATACCAGAGAGGCTTTGGTTGTGGAATAGACAAGGGCATGACAACTTTCTTTCTGAAACAAAATGCTCAATTGCTTTCCTCTCCCATTCTTTCTAAAACCAAAATGCTTTTCTCTAAACACAGTATATAAAAAGGTACGTTGTACCTTAACAGATGCCACACTGCCAAAGCTGATGAGTGTGGCTGTGGCTTGTCTGGTCCTGAAAGCCAGTGAAAAGGTCTCAACAGTGAAGGCGGATCCGGGAGGTAGTTCCAGTCCCACGTGGCCATTAGAGAGAGACACTGAGCTCTGCACCGCCGCTCCACACTCCGGTGACTCCTCACAGTGGCAGATGGCTCCGTTCCACACCGACACACAGTCGCCACGGAGACAAGAGCCAACGGGACAGTCTCGTTCCAACGGGGGGCACCCCTCCGATGTCCCGTGTTGACGAACGGGACTGGCCAGATCCACGATCCGGTCGTCCATCATTAGATTGGACAGGCAGCCGTCAAAGTGGGGTAGAGAGAGGGAGAAGGGAGGGAGAGAGACGTGGGGCTCCACTCCGCCAATATAGAACATCGTGTCCACATCCAAAGACCTGGTGGTATGAGAAAATTCGAACGAATATAATGCATTTTTGGCGAGCGTGTTTCGAGCATGTTTAGAATGTGCTACAGCTTGGTGTACATGTGCCCATACATGAACTCTCATGCACTCAGGTATCAAAGGCACTACACCACCACTGGTAATCATAACGTCCACCAAGCCTGGCAATTTCTCCTTTTCAATTGCAGCTAATCCAGATACAAGACCAGTAATTTGTACTTCAAATAACGCTATAAGTGACACGTGAGATCATTACTGTCATAATGTTCTTTGAGTGTGCTCCTTATAATAAAATCACGTATGTAGTAAGTACAAATAGACTTGTGCAACGTACAATAACGCAGTTATTGCACCCATTACAAAGCTTACAAAGCTGCCTATAATGCAGTGGGAAGACCTGTGTTAAAACACGTCACAAGGTGTTCACTAATCGAGTTACGAATGCCGAGACCACACTTACAGCAATTCTTTCCCACACTTGACCTCTATAGAAGGTGTAAGGCCCATCGCTCAATTTTCACTCATGCACTATTGACTATGGCGGCTTTATTTGTCAAGGTATGTGGGGAGATATAATATATTGCTCGAGTGTATAAGGTAAAGAGCTATTGAGTTATTACTTCTTGTATGTCAGGGAAACGGGAGATATAGGTGATGCGGTGGGAAAGAGAGGGAGGAGGGAGGACGGGAATCAATTGGAGGAGGAAGGGGATGGAAAGAGATGAGGGAGAGAAAAAGAGGATAAGAGGAGAAAGGCAGGAGAGATAAAGGAGGGAGGGGAGAGAGGAAGATGTTGGTGTGGTGATAGTCAGTTTATTGACTCAAATCCTACTGCCCCACGCTGCATGCAAATAAAACTATCACTGACCCACGTGGAAAGCCTGCACAATGAATCCCCATAGAACCCCTTCTGAATTGTGTTAGCCCAAAAGTGCAAAAGCCACAGGGAGTCAGCTAGCTAGCACGACTCACTTTTTTCTGGTGGCAACTCTTCCTTGCAGGACGCAAGAGTCAGCCTCGACTCCAGTGAGGGGGCTACTGGTGGTATAGGAGGTTTCAGAACACTCTGACACAGTCACAGTCAACATCTGAGGTCACGTACAATCACAGAAAGTAGAATAGCAGTGCATTATTGCTAACAAGTGCATCAGTTTTACATAAAGCACCTTATTGCAATTCAGAAGACTAGGTGGGGCTCACTTTGCTTTCAAGAACATGGCAAAGGACTACAGTAATTTCCATTTTCATTTTCCTTTTGTAACTGTACAGGACAAGCAGCCAAACATCTGCATCCATCTATATACAACGTATGTACGTACATACGTATCTGGTAGTACATATAATATGTGGGTATAGGTATATACACTATGTACAGTGAGTGGGCAGTGATGATCAAAGTAGTTATTGGTATACTATGAAAGGGGCGACAGCGTGCGTTGGCTCAACTGCCAGCTCCGTGGTTTTCTTTAATGTGTCACACAGAACCACACAAAACATTGCAGTACAACTTTTCATCGCAATCTTCACTTGGATTTTTCTTCTTTCCCACTAATCTCACTATAAAACTCTTGCGTATTGTCACCTAATATTCTGACACTGAGAGGGGCCATACTGCAGATGCACTTCACAATCCAGCGACTACATCGGCCACTTCCGTCGTTAACATCGGACATGCAGTATCTGTTGCCATGGTGACCGAGTCAAGGTTCTGGGCGCTGAGTCTCGATGGAGAGAGTGACCCTGACTTGACTCTGATATACGAGATCTGCACTGGAGAGCACGGTCATTTGTGACCCGGACACACGGCCCGAGAAAACCGCCAGTACACGTCGGCGTGACCTGTTGCAAACTGGGAAGAAATCTTTGTCCTTCACGAGTAGCATTTGAGACTGCGGGAACACACACATAGCCGCCAGACCCGGATACAGTCGAACAGACGTATAGCTCACAGTCGTCTGTCGGCGTAAAAACGGTGGGCCAGGGCACGACGATGCAAGAGTAGGTGGTGCGCTCTATCGATTCCAGACAGAGACTCCGTGGAGACAGACATTCTCGTGGGCCTTTGCACGTGCGTGGCAGACAGATGGAGGCGGAAGGACAGAGACTTATGCTGCAGTTTCCCGCGCGTGTGTGGCGGGCACTCGCCATTACACGTAGTCATTCTTTCATCGCCGAGTCCCTGCGACACGGAGCGTTGACAGGCAACTGGTTCTGGTGAAGGTGTACAGGGGTCCGTGTCAACACTGCAGAGCCTTCGGCGAGCGTTCGTTGCCAGCCAGTGACAGTCAACAGCGATGGGGAGAGAGGGGTTCTCCTTCGCTGGTGGAGGATGTAGAATGCTCTGCGCTCTGCAGGACTTTGTAGACTCCTATGTGGACTGTACTCGCGACGTGGAACTGCGGACTGGGCAACACCGCTGCCAAGTGGACACGGCTCAGCTCACCACGGCATCATTCGAGTCACCAACAAACTGACACGCCGTTTGAGACGATAGGACCTCTATTAGCACGTAATCTATCCAGGAGGCGTCTCCTCGAGGATGTAGTTCTGATTGGCTATCTCATGTGCACACGACAAGGACAACTGAGAGTCGTGTATTTGCTGTCTTCCTGACACCCACACAATCTCACCGGTCTCTGGAGCAGGGACTGATCACACTGCTGAGTGCCTCGCCGCAGTTCTCGAGGATGGCGACTGACACGTAAATATAGTTCTGTAGACGCGTCCATAATCTACCACACCGACATTGTCAGTCCAGTGAGTATTGGTCACGCTTGAACGACGTACACCCGACGCACCTCGTCCAACCACACACAGAGTTCAGAGTCGCGATGATACTCGAAGCTGGTAGTGCCCGCGCGGCCGGCCCCGAGCGACTTAGCGATATCATGCGCCAGTGAGAGAGAGTTTGACTCGAGAACCAACGATGGGCGGCCCGCGGTGGGCTCCCAACGTCGGACGACGAGAGAGCGTAAGTGATTGGTGTGTCGTGAGTGCCTCTCTCCAAGCATACTCTGCACCCAGTTGTGGTCCAAGGACTGCAGCAGACGACGTGAAAGAGGCACGTATGCGTGAGAGACTGAGCACGGGACTCTTGGAGTTGGCAGGATGTCAATCAGAGCCTGAGTCCCGGCACGTTGCAGAGAACCGCATCGTCGTGGGGCAGAGCCACGATGGAAAACTGTATCATCACGATGAGCCCAACCGGGTCGAGTGTGTGGTCGCGCGGATATCACTCCCGAGGAGCTGATCGCATGGCGAAACAGCGTCCGGTTGTGGCGCGATGGGTCATAGGTGTCTGTAGAGTATGGACGTAGAGCCAGGTATGTCGTCTCTAGTTGTCGGCAGACACTGCAGTCAGTGGAGTGAAACTGGTGTATAGACAGTTATCGTCCCTCTCGATCAGCTGAGTTTGAACTCAAACATGGGAGGGTAGTCTATCTGGTGCCATCCTTACATATGTATCCGGACCTACCGACACGGTATAGAAGCGGAGAGGCATTGACTTGACCCCTCGGGTACCATTTGCACCAATGGTGAGGTTGTAGATTCCTCTCCTCAGCGATCAGCGAGCGACTAGTCTTTACGGCACCAATTTCCTACAGACCATCCACTAGGAATGACCCTCTTGCTCTGGTATCGGCCTGATATTGTCGTATTCAGTGGAGTGTTGACCACTGTCGGCGTCATGTTGCGATGAGTAACAACACACCCACGTATGCTGGTCATTCTCATACACGTTCCGAGCGAGCTCGACGAGGCAGGTGAACTGAGGAGCATTGTCGTTTTCATCGAGTACGGACCCTCCACGACAGCAGAGAGGACAAAAGGGCGAGCCACTGTTTCCCCGGCCACACTGAAAGTTGAAATAAGCTTTAGTTTTTAGTAATCCAGGGCTCGCCAGAGTCACTCCACCCCCAGAAGGTGGTGAGAGGGTGGAAATAACCGGACCGGGATAGTGGTATGAAACAGGCAAATAAACGACTGGTTCCGGCCCTTCCCTGTGTCTAATGTCAATAGGCTTCAAACTACCAAATCTGTACCAATTGAGTTTTCCCCCGCCGCCCAGTGATTCCCACATTTATGTTGCACTTCTTTAACTACCCTTGACCCACTGGAAGGGCAACAGGGGTTGATCAGAAAGTCGTGATGTTAAATAGTCGAGGCATTCTCAAGGCTGACGTGATAGCATCGATGGCATACCTTGAGGGTATGGTAACTGATTTTCCCAGTCATATATTCTCCGAGTGGTGCTTAGTCCGGAGGCAAGGTCGACGGAGAAAGATCTCGGTTTTTGGGTACTCACGATGGTTGTACTCCAACGACGGACCCGTCGGGGGTCCTCCGCCTCCACTTTGTGCGCCAACCGAATAGAACCCCGCCGCCTCTCGGAGTTCTCGGGAACACCGTGCGTAGTGCGCACAGAGATACACAACACAGGGAAGTCTCGTCGTTTGATCCTCAGACTCGAAAGTCGTGACGCGGACATGGTCGGAACGAGCAGGGTCTCCCCAGGTCCGAGCTACAACTTCCACCACCGCGTACTCTATTCTTGTGTTCATAGTCGAGAACAGTCGTGTGAAAACAGTACGAGCACAGTCGTTGTAGTATAGATGAAATTGGCTCGGAGAATTCAGAGAATTTATTACGGCAATAAAATAGGCGGACTCGCCCAGGGGGTCCATCCATCAAGTCATGCAGTAGCTCTAACGTGTTAGTGATCTACCTTGCGTCGATGGGCAGGCCTTCCATCACGTTTACACTGTAGGGCCGAGCGAATGAATCGAGTGATCGTTCACATTGAGTATGGTGATTGGACAGTTACCGGCTGTCACCTAGATCGGGAGAGCAGTTTGGGCCGTAATGACAGATGAGTAAGAGTGTCTGCTGCTCATAGTCCCGCTCATTGTGGACCGAGAGTGCCCCCGTGTTCGGTAATCCAGTAGTTTAGAACCGAAGCCGAGGTTCCATGTGAGATGGTAGCTGACAGTGGCAAGTATCTGTGAGTCCAGTGGCTGCGTTGCAGTCAGTCTGATACACCGTGCAATAGCCCAGTACTCTCTTCAACGTTCACTAACAGAACTCAGAGGCTGTGACCACTGGAGGATTATCAACCAGTCACCGACAGACACTTCGACAGTTGTGCATATTCTGCTCGGTGCGGCTGCGGGTCCCCGCCGTCCCTCTGCACGCATGTTCAGCTGCGTAGCAGGTTCAGAGTCCCTTCGTAGCTAAGTCAGCGTTGAGCTAGGAACAAACTGCTGGTGTAGGTACCCAGAGCCGCGCGGCGGCAGGGGCAATCACGGCAAAGGTGTTCCCGGTATGGGGTGTCTGGCAGGAGAAGGCTGACATTGGCTGTTGTCCCGGTCGGATCAACGCACCAACATATATTAAGACCGTGCAGCCAAAAAGATTAGGACAAATCTGCACCAAAAATATTAGGGACAATTTGCACCAAAAAGATGAGGAAATCGGCACCAATCAGAGTGTGTACTACGCGAGATGACATATAAAGATGGAGTGCATATGTTTTTCAAGCTCGCATATACTCATAGTTACCGTGCATCTAAAATTACAAAGTGTGCTGTTTGAGTATGCAGTGTTCTAGTTTGTGTCATAAGTACGTCTGTACTGGTCTTCAAGTTTTGGTCTTCGTCCAGGGTACAGAGAGTATGGAGTTTCCGTCGTAAACTCGTGCATTGTCAGTTCTCGTCAGTGACAGAGATGTGGAGTAGATGATGACGTGGAGTCCCAGCCGGAGCCATCTGTGGCAGAGTCACATGGAAAGAGTGTCCAGCATCTCTCCCGGTCAATGTCTGGCTGCAGAAACAAAGTATCCGGACTAATGTTGTCTGTATCAGTGAAACCTATAGAATAGACACGTGTGATATAGATGAAAGCACGCCCCTCTATTGCTTCAATTCTTAGACTTTTATTTCAGTGTGTTACTTCAAAATGGAGGTTTCAACAGTGGTCCATTGGTCGTTTGACAGCATGTAATATAGGCAGTTCTTTTTGGTTTTCGCAAACATTTGGGAAAACTCTTTTTTGGCAAATCACAAATTGATCAAACACTACCATGTCTGTTACAACAGGCAACACGACAAGGA